TTTTCAGGGTGCCAGATAATACATGACAGCACGGGGCTGATCAGGAGGAGCACTGAGGGCCTCCGGGAGAGCCTGGATGATCCTCCCCTTCTCTGAGTTCCCAGGAGCTCAGATTCTGCTTGCTGAGCCCTCCACTTGCAGCCTCTTTGGGGAGCTCATAAATAATGACTTAGAGGAGAAATGATTCAATATTACAAAACTTTTTCAAGATCAAGTCAAGGTGCCAGCACATTCAAAAACTGTCAGATATGTCAGGTCAGGTGCTATGTGAGGGATGTGCTTTGTACCTTTGATGTGACAAACATACTGCAGTAAATTCTCAAACATGCACTTGCTACTGCCTTTTCCAAAGCCCTGTCATCAAGCCATCACCTTTAAATCAGTCATGCTCAGTGAAGAGATGCAAAAAGGTTTTTTTTCTAGAAATGCTTTTCCTGGTTCATTGGATTGTTTTCAATGGCAATGATGTGCAGAATGTTTCCCAGATTTGGGGAGATGGCAGTGGGTGTATTTCATAGCACAGCTGGATATAAAACTTTTCATGTTAGTGTGTTCCTCTTTTGGAACTAATATTTTGTTCCAAAAGAGGGGAAACAAAATATTTGTGAGGCCCCACTTTTGTTATGGACCATTTTCTGCTGCAGGTTGAATAACCCATTCTTCAAAGAATCCCACAGATGAAAAACTGAGGCAGAGAGAGAATAAGTGGATTTCCTGTAGATGTAAGGAATGAAGTCAGCAGAAGTGCAAGGAGATGAGTAGTGCAAGGAGTGTCCTAATCACTGAACTGTCCTTGTCTCCCATGTACACTACAGAATACACAGAATATTTATCTTTTAATGGATAGCTTTTTGGAATACGTATCTGTAAAAGGCTGATGTTGGGTTAATGATGAATCTTACAGAATGAAGTAGGAAAGACATTAATTTTGATGTGGCAGGAAAGTGCTTTCCTAATGAGGTAGTAATTAAATAAGAAGGATAGTTATTAAAAGAAATGGTAAATTTAGTGTTCTCCAGCCCTCCTATCTGAGCAGTTCTAGCTGTGGTTCTGGGTAAGAAAAAGGAATGTTTCTGTCAAGCATGAAGTACCACCAGAAAAATATAAAAGGGAAAATGTGTCATAAGAATCATTATTTAAAAATATTAAATAATGTCAAATAAATGAAATCCATTTCTAGAAGAGAATAATAAAGACTGAGAAAAGGTACCCAGAAAGCTAGATGACTTTTCTATTTTCTTAATTGGGGTAATTATACTAAAACTGACATCAAGTATTTCCCCAGTAGCAAAAAACACCCACAAACCTCAGCCAGCAAAAATGCTGCTCTGAGCATGAGGCCTGTGAAGGTTAAAGGCTTGAGTCTGCCATTAGGAGAGTGCTGCTCTTCTCCCAAGGTCAGTCCTTACATATGGAGAAGTAATTTTCATTCTGGGCTCCTCATTGTACAAAGTCAACGCTTACCTTGATTTCAACAGTGCTATATTTGGCAAAGTACTAATATAATTGTGTTTGGTCCCAGTCATGTCCTGTTTGAATGTTAAACTCCTCTTAAGACCAAGCCATTGTGTGCTGCCTCTTGTAGCTTAGGCAATGTACAAAATAGAGAGCAGTGCAGACCCTCTGGAGCAATCCCTCCAGGGAAACCTGTGCTGCCAGTGTCCACACTGTGTGTTTTCTGGGTGTTTTACTTCCCACCAGCTTTTGTCTAGATCCCTACTGCCACTGGCTAAAAGCACTTTTTTGGGTGTAGTTTCATCCAAAAAGATGCAGTTTATGCAGTCTCAGACTTCACCATAGTGTGATCCAAATACAGCACGTAGCACATAGAGACAACCTCCAAAAAATCACACTGTGCATCAGCCCCTCTGTAAACTCTCAGCTGCTGATGCCCCCTTGTTGTTCATCATGTTCCAGCCACCAGCTTCTCTGTGGACATTTTGTTGCCTCACACTGAGGACTTCTCCCTCAGTTAAGGCCTCTTAGTGGGACAGAAATAACCTGGCAGTCTGTTTCATGTCACCTGAACTGAAACCACCCACTATCTCCTTGCTAATAAGTACAACTTGCAAAGAGGAAAAATGTGATTGTACAGCCTCAGATCAGAGATCGTGCAGCCCAAGGACCTCTACCTTTCTCATTAGCCAGTAATGGTGCCTGGGAGATACTTTAATAATAAGGCAAAGATGTGGTGGTACTTCCCCAAAATAATTTCTTAGCCTACAAAAAATTCACAGCTCAAGGATTTGCTAAGCCAGAGGCTTTGTCATTATATCTAATAGCCTTTGATATGTCTCCTTAGTTTGTGAATTATTTAGCTACTTTTTAGATTGATGTTAATTTTAGGATCTAGCGTTCTGCAGGAGAGAATTTGATATTGACTTCGTGCTGCACAGTTTATTAAGAAAAGAATGGGAATGTTAATAGCAGGAGATCAGACTCTGTCTGAGCCCCCATGCTGCCTCTGTTCACATTAATCTTGGAGTCAGGATTTCCTAGTGCTTGCGGTGCAGGGTCACTGTTCCAAAGTTAGGAGTGCCAGTGGCTGCAGAGCCAAGCTGTCCCTTGAGCTGGGGCTCTGCACCACCCTCTGTGGGTTTTTTGGTGTGAATGGGAAACTGCCCAAAGCATGGGATGCAGAGTCAAATTGTACCTTCTCTGGCTTTTTTCAAGCCAGAAAGGCTTGACCCACAAGATGCTTGGGTATGATCATATTTCTGTGGGAACCAGTGTGCTGAATCAAGAGTGTCCAGCTATTGTGGGAACCAGCCAGAAAGAACTTCACTCTCCCCTCAACTCCTTCCATTCTAGGCCTGGGATTTTATCAGACTTTATTTGTAATCCTACTTGATTTCTCAAATAAACAGTGAAATGCAAACGATTGGCCAGAGGGAAAACCTTCCAGTTACTGAAAGGGAAAAAAGAACACAATATCCAAATGACTCATGGCTCTGTGGGTGACGGAGCATGTCACAGCCTGGGATGTGGGTTTGTGGTCCGAGGTCACACGGAGTGGATGCACTTAGGTTGTGATGTTGGTGTAAATGGCTTTGGTAGGAACTCTCCTGTGACTTACCAGAGACAAGTTGATTGTTAAGATACCACTGACTGCTCGGTGGCAATTAGCAAGATAGGAAGGACATACACCAGGTGCAGCCAAACCTCTGGACACTGGCTGGGGGAAATACAACACAACCCTTCTGCTGCTGGAAGAGGTAGATCCTGAAGGAAGAGCTGGAGATGGCTGTGGCTGAAGGAAGTCTGGGGACACAGTTTCTGAGGGCTGGAGCCATATCCCTGTGAGGAACCTGGTGCTGTGAAGTTTTGCTTTCCTGGGGCGGGTTATCCAAAGACCTTCTGGGTGATCATGCTCTGATGTTTGATGCTCTGATTGTTGATGCCCTTCTCCTTGGTGCCCCTTGCTCCCACTGACTGCTGTCTGCTGTGGGTACTCTCAGGTTAGTAAGAAGGTACTCCCTTCTTATTTTTTCCTCTGATTCACTGGTTACAACAAGACAAAACCTGTAAATGCTAATGCAAGTGTAAGTACAAAGGTCTCTGCAGAGCCCGACTTCTGCCCTACTTGCCACTAATCCCTTGTACCTGCTGGGAATCAATCACTTCTAAGAAGTTGCCAGCAGTTACTCTCTGTCCTATATATGAACAACTTGCAGATGTGATAAAAATACTGGATCCTCAGTTCTTCCTCTCAGTCTCTCCACTGCAGGATTTCCTTACCTCTCCTAGTCCTTTCCATCCTTTTAGTGCTCTGGGTGCTGCTCTGTGGCTGTGCAGTGCAGGAGCAGCTCAGAGGAGCTGCAGGTCAGGAGTTCCCTCTGATGATTCCTGATGGATGGCAGGTGCCCACAGAGTGGTGGGCAGTTTTTGGGGAGCACTCACCCCCCTGAATGTATGCACTGCCTGCGAGGTACTGGTTTTGCTCTGTGAGTGGAGGGAGGAATGAGGGTCCACTAAAGGGCCACATCAAATCCCTCTTTTAGGCAGGAGCTGTTGGTAAACAATTTTTTTTTTCTACATCCTACCGCTGTTTTCTACTGCAGAGATACGATGGGATATGGTTTGTAGCTTGGAAGACAGCAGCAGGGCTTTGCCTGAACACAGATCTTGGCAGATCAGTTGGCATTGGGAGACCAGCCAACCTTTTTCAGTTTTCTGGGACACTCCGGTTTGCCCATGTGATTAAAATTTGATGTGTTAAATAAAAACAGATAAGAATTTCTCCATTTCTAATTTGAACAATCAGATAGTGGGAAGACCAAGGAAGCTTCTTTGTTTGTGGCTTCAGCTGTGCTGGGAGTCAGGGCTCATCCCACATTTGAGGAATGTTCTTTTTTTAGTCTGGGGCTGTTGCTTGGGAAATGGCTGTATTCTCCCTGCAGGCAGATCGATACATTTCAGCTCACTGCACTGCAAGTAACTTTTCATCATACATTAAGAACAAGGAAAATAAAAGCCAAGATGGATGTTATTTTGGTTTTGCTTTTATTTTGAATTATTTATTAAGAAGTCACTGCTGTCTTCCTTCTCATCGGGAGACAAAATGCCTTTCTCTAATGATTTTTTCCTAGTAAAAAAAGAAGCAAGGTCTTCCCAGTTTTATTTCCCTCACTTGCTTCTTGGAACTGAAGTGTAAATATGGGGTCTCCACTGCATGGCAAGATGATCTCCTGTGGTCCCAGTGCAGGCAAAGTCCCCACTGATGCTGGAGGAGTCACACCTCATGGTACATTTCTGATCAGTTTTATAATGTTATAGCAGCTGCTATGGGTGCTAGGAGTGATTGCGATTGCTGGCACATAAGCAGAGGGTTATAAGTAAACCACAGAATAACTGAACTATAATTTTAATTATTTACTGAACAGCTAATAGAAATACTAATTGTGTTATGGAGCAAAAATTCTGCCATTGGCTCTACTATTAATGTGAGTTTCTATACTCCAATTAATAATCCATTTTGATGTTTTTATTCCTAAATCTAGGTTATTCTGAAGGGGAGGATAAAGAAACTGGCCACCAAGATGGTAATCACTAGTGGAAATGAAGAAGATAAAGGCAGTCAAGAAAAGGAAAGCAAAGAAGAAACCATCTTGGCAATGCTTGGAATTATTGGAACAATTCTGAATCTCATTGTGATCATTTTTGTGTATATTTATACAACGTTGTAAACTAGAAGGCATGCATATAGACCAGATAAAACGGCCATTAAGAGTGACAACAAACATTGCTGACTATTGACAAGTTCTTTAATCAGAATTGACTCTGTATTATATTAACACATCATAAAAGCACTGCCTGAAGGCAGCGAAGACTGAAGCACAATTAATTTAACAAGACTTTTTCACACAGTAATAAGCTTAACTCTTCTCTCCTGCCCTCTCCCTTTCGGTTTGGTTTTCAGTTTGGAGGAGAATGACTGCAGTTATGTAAGTTGTAGCTTTGAAGAAATCCACCAGAGATATGTTGTTTTAACACAATTTAAAAAAAAAAAAAAGGAAAAGAAAATAAAAGAAAGGGGAAAAAAAAGAAAAGAAAGAAACTGTAAATTATATATAATTAGAAATGTATGCTGTATACCTGCAAAGATTGAACTCAAAGATAGCTTCATAGCACAGATCACGTGTCTGTTAGGTCAAATGGTTTTTTTCTCTTGGTTTTTGCTTTTACTTACATTGAATCTGACAAGCTTTTTATTTAGAATGAACATATGGTGCAATCATGAAAAAAACAATTCTGTTGAGCAAGGTCTGCCTAAACCTGATAAAATGTTGGGAGAAATACAATACATGGTTATTTTTCCTTTCTCATTTGCTTAACATCTGTGTCTGTTCATACCAATGTTTATAAATATATATTTTTAATAAATGTGCTATATTTTTAGCATGAACCAAATATTTGGAGACACTTGTATTCATGCAGCTAAATTTTGTTTGATTAAGTGCCCCTTTTGACAATGGATGTTATTTTCCTCGGCAATTATACAGCAGTCTTCTTTGCAGCCCTCTCACTGAGGTCTGAAGCAAGCTCACATCATGCTCACATGCATGACTTGAAGTTGGAATGTCAGCTGAAAAGCATTGCTGCTTAATATGGGAAATAGCAAAACATTGTAAGGTGACCTTTGGAGACTGGTTGCAGAAAGAAGGCTCTATTTATAGTTAAAAAAAGAAAAAGCCAATGAAAGGAACACTGAGGCATCTCACAAAATATTGCAAAATTCATAGAATTTATGGCTTTCAGTATCTGGTCACGCTCTCTAAGTACTTGTGCTGAGAGAAGTGAGTAGAGGTTTATACAGTTGAAAAGAGAAATTTATAGAGCCTATAGTGAGGGGCTGAAGTGAAATCCAGATTGTAAATACAGAGTGTATTTTAAATGTGAGGATCATTAACTCTTTACGCTTCTCTGATGTGCTTTAACTGAGTTGGTGCAGTGAAATTCTCTGACTTGTGTTTTTGACAGGAATGTACAATGATGATGATCACCATTTTTCTTCAGAGTTCAGTACCTATAAATATACAAAGCATTAAAAATATGAGACTTCAATTCTGCCTCAAGCTGCCTAAGTACATTGCCTACTAACTCTGATATATCCTCTTAAAAAACAGGTCAATTAATTGTTTACTGACTTGTGGCTTGGATTGTATCCTCAGATGCACAAGAAGGATTGGTATTGAAGTAAGCTAGAGCTTTGAAAATTTTGACCTTAGAATCTTATTAATTTTAGTGATCAGACCTGTCCCTCTGGAATCAATAATGAGTTTTTCACCATTTTCCAGTGTCTAGGAATGATCTTAAAAATACAGAATTTCAGTGCAGGATATAAAAGAAAGGCTGGAAAATCCTGAGGGGTACCTCTTATAAACAGAGGTGTTTAGTCTCTTATGGTATCATGCAGTCAATAACAAAACCATTAAGAGTACAAAAAAGGTCAGTAAATAAATTACAATGAAATCCAATATGAAGACTGAAGGAAAACAAAGCAAAAATAATCTCATGTTAATGCAAACATGACAGGGTGAGAGAGGTGAGAAAATGAGCAGAGATTTGAAGTAGAAAACAGCACAGAAAGCCAGTGCCATGCATGCCAGCATGGCTGAGGAAACATTTGTGTTTGCACAGTGCTGGTAGAGCTGCAGATCTCAGAGAGGACAAGAAATAGTAGTGGGGCAGGACAGTGTAGCTCAGTGAAGGTGATCTTGCTTTTTAATTTATAGCTATTTATTGATAATTCTAAGGAATCAGCAAACTCTACTTTTTGATCATCCTGATGGCTAAAATATATTCCTCCACTAGGCATATTTTCTTCTGTTTAAACTACTGCTGCTCACAGCCTGTGGCTTTGAGCACCTGCACCTGCTGCAGGCACCAGCCTGACTTCAGCCAGCCCCTTGCCTGCCAGAATCTTCTCTGCAGATATTTCTCTTGGACTTCTCCTTTTCCAGCAAACACCACAGCAATCTGCCCAAGGCTCATGCTCATCTTCTAGAGGGACATCTTCTGAGTCAAAAGTCTCATGCCAGATAGTTCTTTGCCTCCCTCTGCCTCAAATGGTAATATCTCTTCTTGAGGGCATGAAGATGCTTAATGAATGAAATTTCATGAGGGTTTCTACTATTTTACAAATTAAAGCTGTGCACTGGAAAACAGCACCGAATCATCCACCGAATCACAGCAGGAGCTTTTGCTGCTCATCCCAGTTGCACTTATTCAGACATGGGCCAGCACCTTCAGCTAGTCAGGTATGGCAAATAGCCCAAAGAGGCTGAAATGGTCACCAAGGGCCTAAGGATTCAGTTTTCTCTGCTGTGCTTTGCCTGTTGGTCCTGATGGAGGCAGTGTGTCCAGCTGCACTATCACCTCACACCAGCAGCAGCTGGGTGCAGTGTGCTCTGCCACAGGACTTCTATTCCTCTGAAAGAGGAAGAAAGGTTTATCCCATTCCATAAAAAGTTTAACATTTAATATTTTAATTTTACAGGTTTCTGTTCACAGATAGTTCTAGAAATATCCCGAGGCAATTTCTTCTTAAGTAGATTCATTAAGTATTCATTTAAATAAAAATGAAGAGTTTCCTTTGAGGGCAATTTCTTTACCTTTTATTTGGTATTCATGAACACTGATAGGGGAAAAGTATGTTTTCAGGAATGACAGTGGAAGAGGAATATTTTATACAAGGATCTGAAGGTGTGCCTACCCCGGCAGCTGTGGGTAGGCCTATTCTTGGCTCAGTGACAGCTGGAGCCAAATTACCCTCATGCTTTTTTTATGTGAGCAGTTTTCAGCATGCACCTATAAGAAATATTCGACTAGGTAATACATATGTCATGGATACCTTATAGTCAGTAACTGCTCTATAAACAGTTGAATAAAACTTCTCATTACAAGAGTTGAATGGTAAATCTGCTTTGGCAAGGAAAAATCCAAGTCTCATTTTTGGCTTGACTTGTATGTAATGCAAGCAGTTTCCAAAGTAAATTTTTAAAAATGAAGTATTAGTCCATTAGTGACAGGAACTTTCATCTTTGCATTTGAGTAGAATGAAATTAATATCCAATATCATAATAAGATATTAAAGCATCACCTTTTGCTTCAGGCAACTAAGAATATGATTACATATCCTATGTAGTTTGATGGTCTGTGTCATGGGAATGAAAAATATTTTCATGAGGTGACAGAAAGATGACACTGTCCCCATTGTTGTCTGTTGTGTTGGCTGGTGGATACAGAAGACTTTCAAGAAGGGAGAAGATAAAACTATTTATTATGCACACAGCAGGATTGGGAGAAAAAAACAGACAGGTTACTGCCCTCCAATCTGGTTCCTACACCTGCATTGAAAACTCAACATCTCAGGAACCACATCTTTATACAGAAATGTATCATCCTGTGTGTTGGCTCTCAGGGCAGTCCTGTATTTCAGTTATGTACCTTCTGCTCCTTCCACCTGCACTCTGCAGCAGCGTGTGTCTCATTGTGCCTGAGGAGAGTTTGAGCATAAACCCAGCCTGGCAGCCTCTGGAAGCAGTTGTTTTGTTTTACTGTGGTGTAGCAATCTACTTTGGCCCTGAGTTTTATTATTTTAAGGGCAATCAATCATCATCATCATCATCATCATGTTACTGTCTGACAATCTAGGGGATACTTCACTCTGTGAATTCCCAGACAAATCCCACCCCTGGCCTACAGGTAAAATTTTGATTCAGTAGACACCAAAATACAAAAGAAAGCTTCAATTACATCACAACCAAACTTCAAGCATTGCTGAAGTCCATGTATCTTGTACTTCCATTTATCTATACACTGGAGCTCACCCCAAATGCCCCAAGATCTCATCTGTGTCAAGAGGTCTCGTCTCTTCTGAGTTGGAATTACCATTTCTGTGTGAATTATGGCATATGCAGAGAACTTGGCCCATAGAAGGAAAGGATAAAAATTAACTGAATTAGAACTCCAGGGAGGCAGCACTGCAGAATTTACTAATTAGTTTGAGGTCTAGCTGGAGTACTTTGTTTCTGGATAGTCAATATTGTGGAGAAAAAAATATTGTTCCTTGGAAAGTTTCTGGAAGAAATATGACTAATTGAAAGAAAGAACCTCAATGAAAATTTTTCAGCAGCAGTCCTCCAAAGAAAACACTGACCAGGACTCTGAGTGTCTTGCCTCCCAGGAGAACTGTTTGGCAGCCCAAGAACAGAGTGCACATAAATGTAAGCACCTCTTGTTTACCGAGAGTCTTTGTCTTCTGTGGAACAGAATGCACAGATTTACAAAGATTTACAAATTTATGAAATAGCGCATAATGCAACATGAACGACAAAAAAACTGTTTACCTTTATTTCCTGCAGATGCGCTGCAGACACCCTGCAGAACCTGCACTGCTTCTGTGCCTGGCTGTGTGCTTTGGAGGCTCATCCCAGAAGATTTTAGAAACTCAGTGTAGCTTTCTTTCCCCACCACTGATCCAAGAGAAACAAAACCTGTTCAGTGTGGAAACCTCCCCACCAGACTGAAATCCCACCTGCTTCCCTATGCATTTTTCTGCATATGAACCATCTGGTGTCCAATAAGACTTTCCTTGTCTCAGGCATTAGGTTTGCTTATTTCACCTGGGGGCTCAGACTGTGAAAGGCAATTTGTAGAGCTGAAAGCACCCAACTGTTTCCAATGATCCAGCCTTACATAATGGAGCTGTCACCTGGAGAGTGCATTCAGTGCATGGCACACCACACACCACCCTCCTTGTGTGCTCTCACACTGACACAGCCTCTGTGACACCCAGGGGTTAAAAAAGTGTGCAAGAAAAAGTGTTCTGTGCAAAAGCCTGAATCCCAAGTCTATCTCTGTAGAGTGAAAGGCCATCCTGCCTCGTTGATAGAAAGGCACTTTGCTATGCCCACTGGGACCCCTTCTTCTGCAACCAGTCCCAGTTCAGCTGAAGGTGACCCATGCACCACCTTGAGCCTCTTGTGGCAGCTGCAGAACTTTCTTCCCCTGAGGGAAAT